CGTGACTCCAGAACCTGTGCTTGTTCTGACGCTATGGGAATTGGTTCAGGCCCCAGGGGGCCCAGAGCCCAGTGGTGTGGGGCCCCTCAGGGCCACCTGCTGTGATGAGATGGAGCCACTGAGATGGTGATGGACAGGATCAACTTGAACGGGTGGCGGCTGGCTGGCAGCAGGCTAAGCGGCAGGTCAATACCATCAGAGCCAAAGGCCTGAGAAATAGACCCACAGGACATTTAGAAAAATGAGCAAAACGCTCAAAACACACTTCATAGGAAATCCAGATGTCAAAAGCCAAAGGAAAGCAAAAACAAAAACATGTGAAAAGACTCTTAGCTTCATTGTACTAAGAGGAGACATGCATGTTAGAATAAACATTTTACACACCCACCCAAATGGCAAACATTCAAAATCTGACAGTACCAAATGTTGGCAAGATTATGAAGTTAAATGAGTTAGTACTTTGCTGGTGGGTCTGTCAATTTCTATAGCTGCTCTGCAAAGCAATTTGACAACACCGGTTAAAGGAAAGGTGTGTAGACTCTATCAGCTGGCAATCCCACGCCTAGGCTGAGACGACCAGAGAAATTGGCCCGTGTGTAGCAGACGACGTTTAGGAGAATATTTATGGCAGCATTGTACATCCTAGCAAAAACTGGGAAATGACTCAAATGGCCCCTGATTGGAGAATGCGGAAATGAGTTCTCTATTCAATTGCAAATGATTTACACAATGAAATACATCGCAGCAGTGACCTCAGCCACAAGCAGCAGCAGGAAGGAGTTCCCCAAACCCAATGCTGACTGAGGAGAAAAGCATATTTCTACGTACAGTATGATCCCATTTATGTCAAGTTCAAAGCCTTGTAAATGAAACAATATACACATGCGATACCTCTTCAAAGAAAACAAGGGAAAGGCAAGCGCACAATCCAGGGGGGAGAAGCAGAGGTGTGAGATAAAGAAAGTTGTCCAGGGGAATTCTGGTGTTCCTAAGAGTAGATTTCCCAGATATTAGACACATATACACACATAGAGTAGAGGTGTTTATCTTATTACTAGTAGCCCTGTGCACGAATCTGTGCACCAGTAATTCTCGGTGGGGCCTGGCCACTCCACACCTGCTGCCCAGAGGCTCTCTGTGGCCCAGGCCCATCCACGGTGGGGCACAGAACACTTGCCTCATCGATGAAGCAAGCATACTGCCAGGCCGCTCATACTGAACTGCGACTGGAGGGCTCTGGTGGGGCTGAGGCGACTGGGTGCCATCTTGTGGCCATGGGTGCCACCATCTTTGTGATGGAGTGATGGTTAATTTGCATATCTCCCTATTATTAGATAGGATTTTGTAATGCCTAATAAATTTGCAAAGGCTCTCTTTGGAAGGGATGGTATGTTTCTTAATAATAAATGAACAAAAGTGGTCGGAGGCACATAAAACAAGTCAGGAGGAAAGCGAGACAGTGGTCAGTTGTCTGGACAGGACACCAGATGCTCTTCTCTGGGAAACCTGAGGCAGGGGAGAGATTGGGACCTACATCAGGGTGGGGTGAGGTCACCTTTCTGGGCCCAGGAACCTGCAGACTCCATGCTTCTGAGCTCCTGGTTCTCCAAAGCCGCCCTTCCCAGCAGTGGCTGTCACTCCCGCCGTGCCCTGCATGGTGGTTCCTGCACCTCTGCTTGTCTGAGGTGTGTCCTCGGGTCTTCTGTCAAGTTTTACTCTCTCTCTCTTTATTTATTTTATTGATTTTTTTTACAGAGAGGAAGGGAGAGAGATAGTTGAAACATTGATGAGAGGGGAATATCGATTAGCTGCCTTCTGCACACCCCCCACTGGGGATGTGTCCACAACCAAGGTACATGCCTTTGACCAGAATCGAACCCAGGACCCTTGAGTCCACAGGCCGACGCTCTATCCACTGAGCCAAAGTGGTTTCGGCAAGTTTTACTCTCTTGAATGCATTCCCCATTTACTGAGAGCCTGCAGTATGGCTGGCCTGGAGCAGCCAAGAGTGAACAAGCTGTGGTCACCCCGCTTGCAGAGCTCCCTGTGACAGACAGACAGACAGACAGATAGACAGACAGGAGAGCAGAGAATCACATTACACGGGGCTCCTGGTGCACACAGTTCGCTGCAGACCTTGGTAAAAGGCAGACCCCAGGTCTCCCCGGAGTCCAGTTGAGGACGACTGGGTGGGGCTCCGGAATGTGCTTTGCAGAAACCCTCGGAGGTGCAGCTGGCCCACACCTTGGAGAAGCAGGGCCAGTCAGTGTGGGGGAACGCTACGATGACAGCAGACGTGCTGGGTTGTGGACTGTGAGGAGGGCCATCTCCCGAGACTGGGGAGTGGGCGTGGAGTCAGGGCGGCTTGTGGGAGGCCGCCCCTTCCTCATGGGAAGTCACATTGCAAATGGTTGTTGTGATGATGCCCCATGCCCCTCGGCCCCTCTGCTCCAGCGCGAGGGCCAGTGGGTTTGCCAAGCAGCATTCTGGGCTGGGAGCTGGCCTGGCATCCCGGCCCTGGGTGGCGGCAGGCCCGTAAGGACCATGGACTCCTTGGCCTCTCTGGTGTTTTCCGATTGGCCCATCTCCAAGCACGTGTCAGGGACCAGCTTTGGGTCTGACCTGTATTCCCAGCTGGATCAGGCATGTAACGCCATCAGCATCCCAGGTGAGATTGGGGAAACTGGATGATTGACACATCCCCCCCATTGGAGACCCTTTAGCTACAGCCTTGGATGGTGCTGGAGGAAGGGAAGGGATGAAGACCAGACAGGCCTGAGCTGGTTCTTTTTGTTGGCAATCATAGGGCTGTTTCCTATTTCTGGGCCCAAGTGAGGCCTGGTCTCTCAGGGCCTGTTAGTCAACACCTGGCATGGACTCAGCCCTGAGGGCGAGGCAGTGGGGGCTGCTGTTTGTTCTCTTTTATTGAGCACACCCAGGTGAGCTTTATTGAGGACAGCTCCCCTGGGCTCTGGTTTCCACATTTGTCTCTTTTGAGTCTGAGATTGCCAAGGCTTTCAGAGCTAATGGACCTCATGGCTCCCAGGAGCCACTTAAGGGAGGCTCAGAACTCCCTGGTGGTGATTAGTCAAACAAGAAGCGGCCTCCCCGGGGGGAGCTGGGGTTGAGTGGCAGGAAGTCAGGGTGTAGGGACAGGAGCCCCAGGCCTGCGGCAGGTGTGGGGAGCATCTCCTCAAGTCACCTCTCCCTGGTTCTTCCCCTGCCTCATCCCTACCCCGCTGCTGCTCACAGGGAAGGACTCCTTGGTTCTCAGCTGCAGGGGCCTCAGGCAGGCTGGTGTTCTGGGCTGTCTGAGGGGCTGCAGTGGCACTGCTGAGTAACCTTGACAAGTTACTGTCCCCCTCTCCCCCCTAAATCCTCATCTGTTGCCCCTTGGTGGAGGCACAGGGTCTGTGCTCAGGTGGCCCTTCTCAGAAGGCAGCATGACGTCCCTGGTTCTTCCGTGGGCTTATGGACCATGTGGGTTCAAGTCTCAAATGGACTGCTTTCAAAGTTTGTGATCTGGGGCCAGTCAGTGAACCTTTCTGTGTCTCCGTTTCTTCCTCTGTGACATGGAGATAATAATAACACAGAGGTGATTGCAAGGATCAGTGTACTAAGCATGTGTACTGCTCTTCGAGTGGTAGCTGGAACATACAGAACATTCAATAAGCAGAAGCTATTACTATGATGCCAAGAGCAGGTCTGACGGGGGGCAGAACTGGCAGTAAACTCTTTCTCTTTTTAATAAGCATGTTTTTACTGATTTCAGAAAGAGGAAGGGAGAAAGAGAGAGGGATAGAAATATCAGAAATATGAGAGAGAATCATTGATCAGCAGACTCCTGCATACCCCTTACCGGGGAGTGAGCCCACAAATCAGGCATGTGCCCTGACGAGGAATCGAACTGTGACCTCCTGGTGTGGTTCATAGGTTGATGCTCAACCCAGAGTCACACCAATGAGTTGGGAAGTGAAGCCTTTATCTGGCATTCAGGTCCCGTTGTGCCCAGCTTTGTTCCTCTGTGGCTGGGCAGAGAGAGAGAGGCCTCCAGGAAGCAGCTGGGCTGTCTGTGGGAGAGGATGGTAGTGGAAGGTGGGAAAGGAGAGATGTTGAGTTTAACCTGCTGCTAACCCAAGGAAGGGAGGAGAGAGCCAACATGTAATGAGCATCTCTTCAGGATCCAGCACCACCTGCTTCATCTTCTTGTTGGAGAGTGGGAGTTTTTGCCCATTTCAGAGAGGCCATGAACTATGCCCCAGATAGAGTTGTCAGTGCTGACACCAGGCCAGGCCTTGAGATAGGGTCTCACGGCCCCTTCCCAGCACGTAGGCCTTCTTTCATAGAACACTGTCAACTTTCTGAAGAACAGGATGACCCTGTGAATAACATGATCGTCAATGGCGTGACTCTGACGTTGCTTGGGAAAAACTGTTTTGTCTTGGGTTACTTGTTCTGCAAAACCAGGATGTGGTTAATGTGCTTAAAAGTGGTCCCACACAAAGGGTTGGTGCTGCTCTCTGGACTCCCTGCATGGAGAAAGGCAGAAAAGTTGCCAGCCGGCTAGCTAATAAAGGCTCCCTTAATTTTAATTTGGCCTGGGCTCCAATGGTCATTCACTCGCCTTCGCTCCACAACATTCTTAACCCCCTAACACCCTGTGGTGGGTGGGAGAACAGAGCCTTAGAAAAACTAAGTGACTCATTCCAAGTCATACAACGCAAGCAAGAGGGCGCCAGGCTGGGAGCTCTGGGATGTGAGAGCTCTAAGTGGCTGTTTTCTCTGGTAGTTTGCTGTGGTGGATGGCCAGGGCCTGCTCCTGGGATGCCTGGCTGGCTGCCTTCTCTCTATGAAGCCCAGGATCTCTGCTGGAGCCAAAGGATAGGCCTCCAGAGCCGCTGGATGCAGAGCTGGGCCACGCAGGGCCTGGTTCTCCGTCTCATTAGCGTCATGAGCCGTGGGGCTCCCGGGTGCACAGGCTGTCCTCTCTCCATCTGCAGGTGGACGGCGTTCTGTGCTTGGCCGACATCCTGACTGACGACAGCCACTCAGAGGCCACACGGGCCGAGGCCGCGGCCGTGGTGGCCCAGGTCACTTCCCCACACCTGCCTTTCACGCAGCACCTCACCAGCTTCCTGGAGAGCATGGAGGAGATAGTGACTGCTCTTCTCAGTGAGTCATCCTGGGGGCACGGATGCTGAGGGAGGGGCTTTGCTGCATGTCTTCAGGGAGGGACAGTACCATCCAGCTGGCTCCACATGCCTTCCATAAGGATATTCATTGTCACCACCGAAGCGTCAGTGAGGCTTGGAGCAGCTGTGTTAAAATGCATGTGGCCCTCCTGGAAGCTCCTTGAATGGAGGTCAGATTGGGATTAATTGACCTTTCAGATCAGAGACCAGGACTGACCCCAGGGAAGAGTGGGGCCTCAAATTTTGAGGTTCAGATACTTGACCAGAGAGAGACTGATGGGCTTTGCTCCTGAAATCTCAGTTGATTGTAGCCAATAAATATGGCAGCAATGACTGGGAATAACAGCCCCTCAGAGAGCACCGGTTCACCCCATACTACTCGCTGCAGCCCCTCCATTGCTCTCCAGTCATGGGGCCTCAAGGCATTGACTCTTCCAGGTTCCCCTATTCAGACAAGTGTGCTCCTGGCAGGAGAACCAGAGCCCAATATCTATTGTAGAACATACTTCCCCTGCCCCCTCCCCCACAGCTTTCCTGTGCAGAACTGCAGATTCTAGAACTCATCTGGATAACAATCCTCAGAAAATTTGTTTTGCAAACTACGTTCTTTCCTTTAGAGTGCTGTGATAACCTGTGCTTTTGCTTCTATCTCCCTGCCTGTCACTGTTTTAGTTCCGTATGTTATTGGAACTGAATGAAAATTAATTTTATCAGAAAATGCAGGGTTAGCATCAGAGCTGGGAATATCTGGAGCATCACATATTTATTTAGGGGCAACCCAGAACACTGGACTTGGAGTCAGAGCACTTGGTTTTGGATTTTTGCCTTTTTCTTCATCCATTCTGCAAGTAGCTACTGTGCAGGCGCTGCGTGAGATCCTGCCACTCACTGGTCCTGTCACATTGCAAGGCTCACAGGACAATTTTCCTAACATGGAAAACAAGGGTTTGAAACCCATTCCTCTCAAGGGTCCTCCTAGCTCTACAGTTTAAAGATACACAATTACTTTTCACAGAGGAGGCATCAGTTAAGTTGACTTTGTGGCTGATTCCAGTCCCTGGGGCAGAGGCACCCACAGGCCAGGCTGGGAGAAATCAGTTTACCAGCATGCACATTTATTCAAAGATGGGAAAATGCAGAAGCCCAGTTGTTGAAAGTCTTAGCTGGAGGGAATTAAAGAGGTCATGCACTTTAATGCCCACTTTATAGGAGAAGAAACACAGGCCCAGAAAGGCTGAGGGACTTCTTCAAGACCACACACCAGAGTTAGGATTTACATCTGCTGGGAGCCTCATGTTCAGTCATTCACCAGAGCCAGGCAGGAAGCAGAAATGAGTTGAAGAGAGAGATGGAAGGAGAACATAAGGTGATTTAAGTCCTTCATTGAATTGAAAACCACTGTTGTGACTAAAGGGGTCAGTCACTGATAAACCCCAGTTGATTTTTGCCCTGCAGGAAAGACTTATTTTTAAAGATAAGACAAAAATCCCAGGTTTCATAGAAAATCTCCTAATTTATAAATTATGAAAAACCGTTATTTCACTATTGCCACATGTCCATCCCTACTTCCTTGGCCAGACTGGATTTCACCAGGAGAAGAGGAGTCCCCCTACGACTACCCTCTGATGAAGATGTATTGTGGAGTCGGCCCTGAGAGTCAGCAGATGGGATATATCTGCTGGGCAGGACGCCAGGGCTCTGTTCTTTGGTGGGAAATAGCCCTCCAATTTCTTGCCATCCATTGGAAACATTTTTAAATGAGTCACTGGAATCCTCCATTTTAATCTTCCTAACACATCCCAGGTGACTCAGACAGAAAATGTGCAGCCATAAATGCGCACCCAAATTAAAAGGCACTTAGGCGGCGGCTGTGTTCATTGCTGTGTCGGCAGCAATGGTGATGGCATAAGAATGAGGGTGGGCATTTAAACCTAGAAGAGAACTTGAAGCAAAGTGGGCCACTGAGTCCTAAGGTCTCGCCTAAACTCTGGATGTAGGCAGGTGGCTTGGAAGGGGTTGGTTGTCCTCAATGGTTACCCCCCCAAAAAATCAGAGGATAGGGAGTCACTGGAAAAGGGGAATTATAAACTTCTTGACTCCTTGGTTAAGCCACAGTCTCAACCATGGGTGGTGAGGTGAAGATTCTGGGTTGTTCAGTGGTCACACCTGGGCTGTGGGGAGCAGGGATACCAAGAGCAGACATTGCCTCCTGAGAGGACTGAAACCCAGATCTGGAGGAGCATCAGTGGGATGAACCAAAGAGGCCGAGAGAGGAGAGGCACCCTGGGGTACAGAGAAATGGGGATTTTGGGGTCAGGCAACTCTAGTTTTGATTCTAGGTTTCAGTAGTTACCAATAATCCTCAATTCCACAATTTTGGGAAAATCACTTAACATTTGAATCCTCAGTTCCATCATCTATAAAATTGTGATAAACACTGGGTGGTTGTGAGGATAGAGTCCCTTGCACAGAGCAAACAACTGAGATAAATGGTGGCTGCTGCTGCTAGCTTCTCTGTCTCAGCTTCTACAGCTGTAATGTAGGCAACATTTTGTACTGTAAGGGCGCTGAGGATTTAATGGTGAAGTGCGAGGCACACTTCAGGAGGTTCAACTAATGTTATTTTCTGTTCATTTGTAGTAAGGGGCCAAGCCCTGGAATGTGCCACATGGTGCCAATTTCAATATCAGAACCTAAAGGTTCAGAGTTTTTGTCTGGAAGCAAGAGCTAGGGATCAGGATAAAACATAGTCAAGTCTGTCTTTGAAATTGTGTTTCTCTCCTGGGACCATAGTCCCAAAGTGTGGCTTCTCCTCCTGTATTTTCATAGAGGTTATCAACAGGAGAGGGCCTGGACCCCGGAGACATCTTGATTGATGGTCAAGTTGGAGCTGAGAGTCAGAAGTCAGATCCATTGGATGGGAAGGCAACACCATGGGCAGAATTTCCCATGCCTTCTCCTAAGGGAAGAGTCCATTCTTGGTCCAGTGGGGTCCATGGGGGAATGTGTGAGGGGGTAAAGAGATACTGGGATTGGGGAAGGTCCTCCTTGTCTTAGAGAACCACCATACCCATCACTATTACAGATGGTTAGGTCTGGGTTATAACCACTAATATTAGAAAGAACCCAATAATCAAGCTCTTAGTGTAGAACTTATTCTGTGACCAAAAGGAAATACTGAAGTTCTGCTGATGGAAGCTGGAGAGGTAGAATCTTTATGTTTTAACGTCAGCCTTTTTGTCAAGGCAAATGCAACAGCAGTAGGACTAGGAGCTGTTTTCTGCCTCAGGACCTTTGTATATGCTGTCCCTTTGGCCCAGAACATACTCTTCCCTCAAATATTCTCATGATTGTCCCATTTTATCCTTCAGGGCTAAGTTGTCATATTCTTCAGGAGACTTTCCTTAGGCACCTCATTGGGATTTTAGTTTTTTCCTGTCTTACCATTTGTTTATTTTCTCTCTTACATTAATTACAATTTGAAATTATTTATATTAATTTTTTAAAATCTCATTTTCTCCTGCCCACTACTAGTATGTGAGCTTAATATATATCAGGAGCAAAGACCTGATCTATATTGTTCACTGTGTCATCGCAAGACCCCAGCAGTGCCTGGTACATAGTGGATAAAGAAGTGAATAGGAGTCACATACCAGGATTCAAATCCCAGCTGTGCCACTTATACAGAAACATTTCTCTCCTTAGTAACACTTTCCTCATCTGTAACGTGGGTGTGATAACACTTGCCCAGATTTTCTCCCGGAGCTATTGTGAGAACCAAATGAGAACACTGATGTGAAAGCACTTTTCAGTGAGGCTATTTTCTCCCTCCTTGCCCTCCAGAACTGTGCCAAGAGGCCTCATCCGGGGAAGTCTTCCTGCTGGCCTCTGCGGCCCTTGCCAACATCACCTTCTTTGACACGATGGCCTGCGAGATGCTCCTGCAGCTGAATGCCATCCGTGTCCTCCTGGAAGCCTGCAGCGACAAGCAGAGGGTGGACACGCCTTATACCCGGGACCAGGTGAGACACTGGGGAGGGACCAGGCACAGCACCTGTCACTGTGAAGACAGGTCAGGGGGTCAGGGCTTAAGGCCTTTGGTGTGGGGGCGAGGGGAGACAGCATGGCCTGGCAACACCAGGTCCTGCTAGTTGCTCCTGTAGGAAGGTTTTCATCATGCCTCCTTGCCCCTGGAGCATCTCCATGAGCCCACTCTCTACCTCTTTTCTCAATGCAACCTCCACGGGCCTTTCTCTGTCTCCAACACCTGTCCATTCTAGGAAGTAGAGCATCATGGAGAGGTCCTTGGACCTACTCTAAAAGTCTGTGTCCTGCTCTTATTGGTGCCTATCTGACATTGTGCCCTGAGTGAGATTTATCCCTTCTATGTTTCTGTGTAAACAGGGGTTTGCTTGGGTCAGAATGTGGATTCTGGGCCTCAGCCCTTGTATCCATCTCAATGTTTTTGTAGATTGAGATCCATGTAAAGCTTTGTTGGGAAAAAAGGATTTTACTCTCAAACATGTTAGGAAACATTGAGCAAGGGGATTTTAAAAGGCCTTGAGTTCAGAGGTTATGGTATTCTGACCTGTCTCACATCTGCCATATTCAGCCTCCCATTTCTCCCCTACCAAAAGGTGTGTGGGGCAGTGGATCCAATGGGTTTCAGGTCTCTGTAAATTCTGTCTGGTGCCTGAGCTCTAAGTCAGATGATCCCCAACCTCTAACCCAGCTCCTCCCTGTCTGCATCTTAGCCTCCAATCCCCACCTGTGTCTTTCAGCCTCATCACCTAGAAAAGCTGCCATAGATTCTTATTCCAGCTCCCACCTGGCAATCCTGCAAAGCCTTCCCGGTGGCTCCAGCTCTCTGGAAGGCCCTCCTGCTTTTGGAGGCCACACCTCACAATGCAGTGGTGAATGTTCTAATGGTTTTTATTCCTTTCTAGTTAGTTCACGTCAGCCCCACTCCCAAGCCCCCAGGACATGGTTCATGTGTATATTTCCCCAGATTTCTTAGGCCTCTGCCCAAAGTTGGCCCCGTGATGAAGTTCTCTAAGTGCTTCTTTAGGGCATAAAAAGGAAGAAGCAGGATGATACTGTGTTAGTTCTTCCTTATCCTTAGAATTACTGACCGTAGAAACTCACATTCAGAGAGCATTTTCTGGTACATATAAGCATTTTTCCACGAGGGCTCTAATAATTCTGTGAGGCTGGTAATATTTGCTCCATTTTATAGATAAGAGTATTGAGTCTCAAAAAAGATGTCCCCCTGTCATAGGGTTGGCAAGCAGCTGCCAGCATTTACAGCCTGGCCTGACTTAGATGTGGGACTTTGACTCTCACCTGCTGTGAACATGGAGTAGAGGCAGTGTAGCTGTGGAGTCAGAAAAAACAGGTTGATCCTGGCAATTTATTCATTGGGTGGTTTGGACAAGTCATAGCCTCTTGGGTGTTGATTTTCTCACTATTAATTGGGACATGAATGCTGAACTCGCAGGGTTATTGTGAGGGTGGGTGAGATAATATATGTAAAGAACTTGATATAATTCTTAGCACTTCTAAATCCTCAATAAATGATGCATATTATTATTACCAGAGGCCTGGTACATGAAATTCGTGTATGGGGGAGGGGTTTCCCTCAGCCCAACCTGCACCCTCTCCAATTGGGGACCCTTTGGGAGATAAATCAGCAGTCAGACATCCCTCTCACAATCTGGGACTGCTGGCTCCTAATCACTTACCTGCCTTTCTGATCACACCTAACCACTCTGCCTGCCTGTTTGACCACCCCAAACTCCTCTGCCTGCCTGCCTGATTGCCCCTAACCTCTCTGCCTGCCTGTTTGATCTCGCCCTCAACTGCCCTCCCCTACTGGCCCCTAACTGCTTTGGCCTCCACCACCATGGCTTTGTCTGGAAGGAAGTTGGACATATGGAAGATGGCCGGTCGACCCGGTCTAATTAGCATATTACCCTTTTATTAGGATAGATAGATTATATAGGATAGGATTGCTTAAATGGGGGGAAGGGGAGCCTTTTTCAGCTGAAGGAGATGCTCTAGGCAGACAAAAATACATAATCTCTATATCTGGACTGATAGCCAGTCATATGCACCACTATATTGCCAAACCGGTCATTAAAAAATTGAATTGATTTCTTACACCTTACACCAAAAAGCTGTTGTCCTTAAAACCCCTCCTTAGCCCCCACTTTAGGTTCTATCTTTGAAGTTCACCCAGATTAGGTTCTGATTGGTCAGTTTCTATGCCAGTCAGCATCAAAAGCTCTGCCTCCTAGGCAGCCATTGGCTCCTTGCATTTTATCCAGATTTTGTTCTGATTGGTTGGTTTCTATGCCACTCAGCATCAAAGGTGGCTGTGGATCAGGCCCTGTTTCTCTCTCTGGGCCTTTTTTGGGGCCTGATCCACAGCTGGTTGCCACACCCACCTCACCCCACCCATCCCCACTGCCCTGCCCACCAGCTGCCAGTGATAGGAGCCTGTTGGCCATGGGGGAGGGACCGAAATGTGCTCCATGTACTTCCTGGTGACCGGTTGTCCATCTGGTCATTTAGGTAGCAACAGCCCCTGGCCTTTTATAATGTACATTTTTAAACTTGATGCTCCAAGGAAGAACATGGATAGTGAATTATTCAAAGTCCTCAACTTGGCTTCCCAAGCCATGTATGGTATGGTTCATGACTTCCTTTCCAGTCAAATATCTCACTTCTGAGAGTTGGACAAGTTCCCCATAGAAATAAGGTATGACAGTACAGATGGATAAAGAGGGGGACATTGCAGTCATAGCCCTTGGCTGTGGGGAGTGGGGTGGAGAGCGCAGTCTGTGTGATGTGCCTTGCACTTTCTCTTCTTTAGCCAGACACCTCCAGTTTCTGGGTCTGTCATCAACCTAACAATATTAGGTCCCTTCACCTTCAAGTTCCTTCTTGTAGCCAACTCTGGTCAGTTCATACAAGATCTAGTTGTAAAACAATAAGAACAGGAATTTTGGGGGTCAGATGACCTGGGTTCAAAACTCCTCTATAATGATAATCATGTAATGTAAAATATTTTACTTCAAGCCTCACTTATTTGTGGATGTGGTTGAATAAGATACTTTGCAAATTTGAAATAAGAATTCAATAAATGATTATAAACTCTTGCTACAATTATTGGCACAAAGAAACCATTAAATAAATGGATGCCCCACTCAGGCCTGTGTGCCACATTCAAAGGACAATAGTAATAATAACAAATGTTATTATTACTATTGTTATTAATGCAAATGTTATTATTACTATTGGCCTTTGAATGTGGCACACAGGCCTGAGTGGGGCATCTCTGGAATTTTCTCACCTGTAAAAGGGGCAAGACTCCTCCAGCTCAGACATCCCCAAGCTCTGTGCAGAGACCCTTGTTTCATCACGAGCATTATGAAGGAGGAGGGGGTTCAGGGTGGGGAGAGAATGTGGTTAAGTTCTAGCAGATGGAAACTCTGAATCTGGAATCAGGAGTTTTTCTGCTTCACTCCCTAACCACCCTCTCCCCCCAGTCCCATCTTCTCCACACCCTTTCCCCTACACCCTTGAAGTCTGAGCCAGGCATTGGCTCCCACCATCCTCAGGGTGGCTTAGCTTTCTGCTCTGACTCAGAGCAGCTGCTTAGCTAGCGAGAGTGCATCCATTAAAGAAACAAATGGCCCTTTCCTGTGGCAGAGGGAGGATTAAGATGACCAGAGAGCTCTGTGCAACGAGGACAAAGAAGATGAATTAGACTCTGAAGTGCTCGCCGCCCCCTGAAACACTTAGGAGATTAAATGCCCGTGAAGTTTCCAGTAACGCATTTGCCAATGACGCTAATGCTGTGCGGAGCCTTTTGGTCTTGGATGTGTACTTGGTCCACCTCCATTTGGACATCTCCATGGGAACCTCTCCATCATCTCAGTGAGCTGACTCCACTAAATTTGTCCAACAGAAGCCTCGACAGCCAGGCCTATCCTGGACCCGCCCTAGGGGTGTGGATGGGGTAAGGGCAGCAGTGTGTCTGGTTCTTCCTCCCCCTCTAGGGAGCCATGGTGGTCAGATATCCAGAAGAACCCCCTGCTAACAAGCAATCTATGTGGCTCAAATTTTAATCCCCAGGAGGTATTTCCTAGGGGTCATGCTGTGCAGGGAATCTAGCTACAGGTGTGCTATGGGCAACGGGAGAGGGGCTGCCTCATGCTTACTCACCTCTGCCCTGTTTGTCCAGCAGTGATGGCCTCGGGTGAGAGACCCTGTTATCTTCTCTAATCCACAATAGAGACTTGCATGGAGCAGGACTTAGTGTGGCCTTCAGAAATTAGTGACTTTTGTGGAGGTGGAGGGTGCTGGTATACACTTCCCATGAAAACACCTCGTCTGCTTTGCATTTTAGAATGTCAAGATTTTGTAGCATTTCTGAGACCTCGCTGTGAATACCATTATCAGGAGTCCTTTTATGAGAAATGCCAGTTATTAGGGTTTGTAATGTTGACTCACATTGAAAAAGGCCTTTATAGTTTATAAAGTCCTGTCATATGCACATGTGACATAGTAGAAACAGCACAGACTTTGAGTACAGACAGACCTGAGTTCAAATCCTGACTCTGCCATTGCCTAGCTGAGTGACCTTGACAAATCGCTTGATCTCTGTAAGCCACACTTCCCTCATATGGGTAATGGGGATAATGTTTTCTTCCTCCTCTGACCAGATGGCATAATGCTCATAAAGTGGTTCGCACCAAAGTGGTTGCTCAAACATGAGAAGGGCAGGGGCCTGTGATAGAACCAGGAATTGGGACAGATCTGAGATAGGGAAGGTCAGCTTTGAGGCAGGAAAGTTGGTCGGGAAAGGTAGTTAATGAGGTGGTGAGTGTAGTGTGGTATAAGGTAATGTGTGGTGTGTGTTGTTCCTGGGTATATGTGTCTGGGTATATGCAAGTTGTGTGTGTGTGTGACAAAGACTATAAGCCATGCAAAGGAGTTGGCACAGCCCTGGCCAGTG